GAAAATATAACACCTGTGGTTCTCATACNCAACATGCATCCACATGCTTAACATGTGTATCATGTGTTTCACATGCATTTTATGCATTATGCATGCACAACATGCATCTCACATGCTTACCATGCATCTCACATGCTTAACATGTGTGTCATGTGTATCATGTGTTTCACATGCATTTTCTGCATTTTGCATGCACAACATGCATCTCACATGCATAACATGCATCTCACACACATAACATGTGTGTCATGTGTTTCACATGCATTTTATGCATTGGGAGCATGGCAACCTCATACTATGCATTAAATGCATATCATGAATTCTACGCGTTCTCGTTGCATCCCCTTTCTCTACAGCAAGATCCAGCATTAATTGTACTCAAGCCCCCTTTCCGCAGGAAGATTATTGAAGACAAAGTGCACCATGCCCTCTTGCCTCAAGCCACGAGCTTCTTCCAACACAGCGAGCTCAGGAGGCTGCCGCTGCCCCAGCTGCCACGTGTCAGGCGCCTCTCACGGTATTTCTCTCGCTCTGCGCTGCCCTTCTTCTTCTCTCGCTCTCGTTGGTGGTGGTCGTGGTGGTCGTGGCTGGCTGGTTTCCCTCTCAAAGTGTACGATGCCAACCACGCGAGGTCATCTTCCACGACATGACCTCCATGCCCACCGAGGACACCGACGAGCAGCAGATCTTGAAGGCAACCCCCCCACCCTCCAAAACTATTACCTCGCGGGGCTCTAATGATGTTGCAACTGTTGTGTGTGTGTTCGTGTGTGTTCGTGTGTGTGTGTGTGTGTGTGTGTTGCAGAGACTTTGGTCTCACATTGGTGGTGTGCAGCTATTCAAGAAGCGGAGGAGCTAGCGGGCCAGTCCCTCTTCGACGACGTCGACGACGACGATGTCGAAGAGGACCCTAACGTGCCGCCCGAGGAACGCGAACCATAATCTCGGTACCGCCACACCGCGCGTTCACTTCGTCTTCCTCCAGGAAGAGTGCCATTGTTGTCTGTCGGGTGTGAAGGTGTGTACAGAGAGAAGGAGACGATGTGGTGGCTGCGCTGGCGGTGGCCGATTTCTTGGTGGGTGGTGGAGGCTCACACGTTCTTCCACACGCCTCGGTTGTTCTTTACGACCATGACGCCCTCCAATTGCACCACCTTTGCCGAACGCGTGTGTCGTGTCGTGTGTGTTGTGGGGTGGGTGGATGGCAGGCAGGATGCCCACCTCAGGTACCAGCTGTCCGGGGCTGTGGATGTCCCCCCGATTCGATAAGCACGCCACACACACACACACACACGACTTCAGCGAGGAGGGATCCGGAGAGAATCGGTGGGCGAGGTAGGGTTCGTAGCCCTGCGTGCTGTTGCCTGAGCGTTCATGCCCACCAGTTCCTTCGCACCATCCCATCGATGATGAGAGGCCCCAGGCGGAACACCTGCACGCGACTACCCGGCAGCGGGTTGACGTCCTACCTTGTGTGATCATTGCGTTGAACGCGGCGTCGTTGCCACCGGCTCTGTGCATGGTGTCATTGCCTTCTGCCTTGTCAAGGAGAACGCACGCACCACTCCTCACCTTCCCCGCCGTAGCAAGTCCTTTATGGAAAAATAAAAAAATGCGCATTTCTTTAGCACGGCACACCATCGGAACCGTTTTGTTCACTTGCCTTGTAAGCGCTTGGCCTCGCGATTGGTCCAAAATGCGCGGCAGAGCATGGGCTTCAAGATGTGATAGGATTCAGCCCTGTAGGACGTCTTATTGGGCTGCTAGGACCTCGTCGTTTTAACCTGGAAATAGACATGTCGCCGTTTTTTTCGACAGCACACAATGCCACCATCTCCCCTGGCTCGATGGGATGCCCTCCAGCTACGGCAAGGTCAACCTTCCGCGGTGGAATCGCGATGACCGCGAAGGCAGTACTATCAGGGGCGGTAAACCGGTATGTCCGCGGTTGTCCGCGATGTCCGCGGTGCCTGGCACAGCCGTGGAGCTTCCGAATCAAGTGAGTTTTCCTTAATCTATCATTGGCTTCCTTGTGGGCGTGAGCAATTAGTGGAAAGAGTTTTTGGAGTTCCACTAATTCTGCGCGTTGCCCTCATGCGTTTGGACATTGTAAGGGGATGCAACGAAAACGCGTAACACTCGTTAAACGCGTTTAACTAGTTTAACTAGTAAAACACTGATTAAACTCGTTTAACGATCTGCCCACTCGTTGAACGTGTGGGCCACTCGTGAAAGGAGATGGCTTGTTTTCGCGGACATCGCGACCTCCCGCGGACATCGCGATTATCCGCGGACATCGCGGCCGGCGACTCATCCCCAAACGAGTGGAGAATGTGTGAAACGAGTAAAAACCGCGTGGAACGAGTAAAAAATGCGTAAATAACGACTAAAACGAGTAAATAACGAGTTAAAGGAGTAAAAAACGCGTAAAAAACGAGCAAAATGACCACAAACCACCTGTGGCAACACTGATTGAACGCGTTTTACGAGTGTTACTCGTTTTCGTTGCAACCCTTCAATCAAAGCGCGCGAGTTTGCTCGCTTGCCTTGATAGCGCCCTCCCCTCCACTGTTTTGCAACGAGAGTTCCCAGTACGGAGACGAGCAGAGATGAGTTGCCGCCCACGCGGGTATCGCGACGTTCGCGACTCATCCTGGATAATACTTAGCAGGCAGCCAGCAAGCAAGGCAAGCGAGCAAACTGGCGGGCCATTAGTCGTATAGTGATTTCTGAGATACAGGAGATGGCTTGTTTTCGCGGACATCGCGATCTCCCGCGGACATCGCGACCTCCCGCGGACATCGCGATTATCCGCGGACATCGCGATCATCCGCGGATAATCGCGACCTCCCCGCGGTGAAGAGTAGGCGGTCCGCGGGAGATCGCGATTATCCGCGGACATCGCGGCCGGCGACGCATCCCCACAAGTTGTGTTGCGGACCGCGCACCGAGCGCCCTGAATCGTGTGGCATCTTGTAGCCCATGGTCTAATTGGTCTAGAAACGTATTGGCAGGCCGCTAGCTATGAAGGCAAGCGAGCAAACTGGTGCGCTTTAATTGGTCGAAGGATTGTTAAGGCACAAGTTGTGGGGCGAGCAGTGCACCGTAGCACCCTGAGTCGTGCGGCATCTTGTAGCCCAGAGTCTAATTGGTCTGGAAAATAATTGCCAGGCCGCTAGCTATTAGGACAAGCGAGAAAAACTGTGCTCTCGCTTGTGTGCTGTCGAAAAAAACTGCGACATGTCTATTTCCAGGTTAAAACGACGAGGTCCTAGCAGCCCAATGAGACGTCCTACAGGGCTGAGTCCTGTCACACCTTGAAGCCCATGCTCTGCCGTGAATTTTGGACCAATCGCGAGGTCAAGAGCTTACAGAGCAAGCGAGAAAACGAGTCTTCTTGCTTGTGTGGCGATGGCCGCGCAATAATTTAATCTAAGTCTATAAACTCCGCGCCGGCGAGTAGGTCGAAACTGGACAAAATCCGGGGACGGTGAAAGTCCGTGTGCTGTGTTTGTTCCTTTGCTTTATGGTACACATGCCCACCCCTCCTGTACAGAACCAAAGAACACCCCTTCCCCTCCACTTGCTCTTGCGGAGGCCTGGCCACCCACAGCGCCCAGCCCAGTGTGGCTGCCTGTCGTCACCAGGCTGGCTCTCTCTTGGTTACGACGAAGGGTGGTTAGCCCTCCATGCCGAAGAGGCGCTTGCGGGTCTTCTCGAAAGCACGTTCACGGAAGGTGTTGGGGTAGCGGGAGAAGATGTCGTCGACGGTGGTGCAGTGGACCTCCTTGAGCGAGCCGCGAAGGTCAAAGTCGGTGTAGCGGGTGACCTGGACAAAGAGCTTGGGCATTCCGCGCAGGAGAGTGCGGATGGCCTCGTCGGTGAAGCAGGAGCACGAGATCAGGTAGAGGTCCTCCAAAAGCGGACATCCGACGGCGATCGCATGGAGGGAAGCCTCCGTCAGATTGTTGAGGTTGTTGAGCTCAAGTCTCCGCAGGTTCGGGCAGGCTT